CTCGACGTGGGGCCCAATTCTCTCCACGCCGACGTCGCCGATGCATCGCCGACGCCGCCAGCGCATCGCCGATGCGGCGAGATCCTCCGACCCCATCTGCTCGGACCCCATCTAGGAGGCCTCTAGTCAGGGGGGGGACTCGGGACGGCAAAAAGCCGTGCCCTGAAGAGGCCCCCTCGGGATGCAGGGCCCGCGTTCCGCCAGGGCCCAGGCGGCCCCTGGCGGAGCGCGGGGCCGTCGTGGGCCTTGGGCCCCTCTGGGGTGCAGTCGCGCGCGCCGCTTTCGAGGAGGAGGAGGAGGAGGAGGAGAAGAAGAAGAAGAAGAAGAAGGAGGAGGAGGCGGAGGTGGAGAGAGGGCGAGGGGGAGGGGGGGGGGGGGAAAGGGGGGGAGGAGGAAGATGAAGAGGAGGAGGAGGAGGAGGAGGAGGAAGAGGAGGAAGAGGAGGAAGAGGAAAGGAGGATAAGGAGGAGGAGGATGGCGGGGGAGGAGGAGGTGGAGGAGGAGGAGGAGGGAGGAGGAGGAGGAGGAAGGAGGAGGCGGAGGAGGGAGGAGGAGGAGGAGGGGGAGGAGGAGGAGGAGGAGTGAGGAGGAGGAGGAGGAGGAGGAGGAGGAGGGGGGTCAGGAGGAGGCGGAGGAGGAGGGAGGAGGGAGAGGAGGCGGAGGATGCGAGGGAGGGAGGAGGAGGAGGAAGGAGGAGGAGGAGGAGGAGCGGAGGAGGAGGAGGAGGAGGAGGAGGAGGAGGAGGGGAGGAGGAGGAGGAGGAGGGAGGAGTGAGGAGGGAGGAAGAGGCGGAGGAGGAGGAGGAGGAGGGGAGGGGGGAGGAGGAGGAGGAGGAGGAGGAGGAGGAGGAGGAGGAGGAGGAGGAGAGGAGGAGGAGGAGGAGGAGGAAAGGAGGAGGAGGAGGAGGGGGAGGAGGAGGAGGAGGAGGAGGAGAGGAGGAGGAGGAGGCGGAGGAGGAGGAGGAGGAGGAGGAGGAGGAGGAGGAGGAGGAGTGAGGAGTGAGAGGAGAGGCGGAGGGGAGGAGGAGGAGGTGGAGGAGGAGGAGGAGGAGGGGAGGAGGAGGAGAGGGGAGGAGGAGGGGGGAGGAGGAGGAGGAGGAGGAGGAGGAGGAGGAGGCGGAGGCGGAGGGAGGAGGAGGAGGAGGAGAGGAAGGAGGAGGAGGCAGGAGGAGGAGAAGGAGGAGGAGGGAGGAGGAGGAGGAGGAGGACGAGGAGGAGGAGGAGGAGGAGGAGGAGGAGGAGGAAGTCCCCGGAGGTCTCTGCACCCCGCCACAGGTGTGCTCCTGAAGGCCCCTGTCCACACGCCACCAACGACGCTGGCGCCGTGCCGCGCCCCACGACAGGCGAAGTTGTGTTCTCCCTGCTCCTGCTGGCAGCGGCCAGTGCATCGACGATTCGTCGAGAGGGGGGCGTCGAAGCCGAGGGGCCCCCCGGGAGAGCAAGAAGCACCGATCTTCGGGGGAGAGAGGGAGGGTCGAGGTTCGTTAGTGGTGGTTGTTTTGTTCTGCCGCATGCTGGCGTCTGCGGGGGGGGGAGAAGGAAAGAATGCTAACGCATTGCACTTTGTTTTTGCCTCATGGCAGCGATAGGGTTGACAGTGAAATATGAGGATGCAGTGGTACAGCTTTCAAGTTTTGAGGAGGAGGAGGAGGAGGAGGTGGAGGTGGAGGAGGCGGAGAAGGAGGGGGCAGGGGTAAGGTCCTTGTGAGTTATGGAGGGGCTCTCTTGGAGGCAGGGGGAGGTAGGAAGAAATACAAGAAAAGGAGGAGGAGGATACTGTTGTTGTGGGCACCGCTTGATTCGAAGCAGGAGGTGGCAGAGGAAGAGGAAGAGGAGGCAGGATGAGTAAGAGGAGGAGAGGAGTATAAGTAGGAGGCCCATAATAAACTCAATATCCATAAACGATGCTGCAATACAAAGACGAGCGCCCTATGGGGTGGTCATTATGGCGAGAGCCCGGTTTGAAACATAGCCGCCCTCCACCTTTCTAGTTCGAAGGAACGCCAAGAGGTAGCACAGTGACGTTTCAGGAAGTGTCCAGCGTGAGCGCCTTTCTCAGCAAGAGCCGTCTTCCATCCATGTAAGTGTTGTACTTGTACACGTTTGCTTATGCAACGTGTAGAAGTCTCACGCGAGAGTGACATTTTGAGACGGGCAGCAGCTCATCCATGCAACTTCTACACATGATCAGCCGTGCAGTCGGAAAGCTTGAGGAACCTCACGCGGGATCCCCTTTTCGACAAGGGCCGCTCTCCATCTGTGCAGCAGCTCAAGACTTTGAAGTGAACTGCGCGGCTCCACGGCAGGGACCCAATCTTCTTTGAACAGCCTCTCTCTAAGGGGAATGACCGGGGGGGCGTGCCAGGTCCACGCACCTGTGATGTGATCGTCTCCCGTATGGTCTCCTGAGACCCAGGCCCCCGACGTCATGATTTTTGTCATACCGTCGACCCCCGGAGGTCTCGACCCATTCCCCGGGACCCGTTTCTCATCCTGAGTCGTTGTTTGACGGTCCCGAGGCCCGGCGAGGGCCCCCAGATGCCGAAAATGACACAAAACTTCCCGTCATGCTTTTTGTCATCATTTGAGGGGGTTCTGGGGAGAGGGGCGGTGCCGGGCCTGGAATCGGTGATTTAACTGCCTCCCATATGGTCTCCCGCATGGTCTCTCGCACGGTCTCCCCGTAGGGTCTCCAGTGTGCTCTCCCGTGTCTGCTCTCTCGTGTGCCCTCTCGTGTGCTGTCTCGCCTGGTCTCCCATAGGATCTCCCGTGTGGTCTCCCGTGTGTTGTCCCGGCTGGTCTGCCGCATGCTCTCCCGTGTGGTCTCCCGTACGTCTTCCCATCCGATGTCCAGTATGGCCTCCCATGTGTTCTCCCGTATAGTCTGCCTTAAGCTGTTCCGTGTGGTGTTCCGCATGGCCTCCTGTGTGTATAGTACCCGATGATGTCCTCTGTAGCGGTTGAGTACTCCAGATTTCGTAATAAAAGGGAGGGGGTCTCAACCCTCCCAGACGAGAAGTTTTAGACCCCCCCCGTGGGAGAACCCTCCAAAACATCGTCCCCAGACCCCCCCAGGCCCTCCAAGATAGCCTGGAAGAGACCCCCCCCCGAAATGAGACCCCCTCCCTTTTATTACGAAATCTGGAGTGCCCGATGATGTTCTCTGTAGCGGTTGAGTATGCCGCTCAGGGTCTTATGTTGCCATGATGACTTTGAGAAACAACGGGCCTCCCTCCGTCCGCGCAACAGATGGGAGTGCAAGATCGAATGCACGCGGCGCTAAGGAGACAGAGTCATATGTTTAAAAGCCCAGCACCCTCCGTCCGTGTAGTTGATGTCGGCGGCGAGCGAGGGGGGGAAATGAGAAGGAGAAGACCGTCTCAGAAGGCGGAGGGACTTCTCAGAAGCCCTCGCGCCTTCTGAGAAGTTTTCTATGCCTTCGGGGAAGGCTCAGGAAACTTCTCAAAAGGCCCTTCTGAGAAGGCCTTCTCCTTCTCACTTCCCCCTCTCGCCCGCCGCCGAGTTAAAGAGACAGAGTCAGGGGGACCAGGGAGGGAGGAGGCCAGGGAGGGCCAGGGAGGAGAGGAGGGCCAGGGAGGAGAGGAGGGAGGGAGGAGGCCAGAGAGGGAGGATTGAGACAGGAGGAAAGGGGGAGGGGGGGGCCAGATCCTGGCGTTGCAGTGTTTTTCCCACAGGCCGTTTTCGAGCAGCGGGGAGGAAGGATCGCTGGTTCAAAAACGGGGTCCCGAGGGAGGAAAGAGGCGAGGGAGGGATCACGGTTTCACCCTGGCTGCCCAGCAGGGATGACGGACCCGCTGAAGGAGCAGAGCACTCGCCTCGCTTGGGATTGGTACGCGGGCGCCGAGAAGGCCTTCGAAGCGATCGAGGGATCATTTGGCAAGGTGGCGCCGGCTCGCAAGTGCCAAAGATTGTGGAGGCGGAGCTGAAGAGAAGAGGAGAGGGAAGAATGAGATAAACTGATGGGGAGTGAAGGGGAACGAAGAGAAGAGCCGGGGACACGAGGGAACGGGAGGTAAGACAACGGAGCACTGTATGAGCACGATGCGAGAGGAGAGGAGATGACAAGAGAAGAGAGGATACAATACAAGAGGAGGAAAGGAGATGAGGGAAGGGAAGACAAAAGAAGGAAAGGTAAGAAACCCAGGGAAGGGTACTGGGGAAAGGAGAGGAGAGGAGAGGAGAGGAGAGGAGAGGAGAGGAGAGGAGAGGAGAGGAGAGGGGAGGGGAGGGGAGGAGAGAAGAGGACAGGAGAGGAGAGGAGAGGAGAGGGGAGGGGAGGGGAGGAGAGAAGAGGAGAGGAGAGGAGAGGAGAGGAACGAGGATGAGAGGACGACCAGGACAAAGGAAGGGGAGGGAGGCCGCACAGCCGTGCGAGCCGTTGTGTGGGAGGTGCTTCCCGGCCAGACCGAGGCGTCCCCTCCCCCACCCACAGGCACCCCTCGCCTCCTCCTCCTCCCCCTCTTCCCTCCTCCCTCCTCCCTCCTCCGCCCTCCTCCTCATCATCATCATCATAATCATCATCAGTATCATCGTTATCATCATCATCATCATCATCATCATCATCATCATCATCATCATCAGCATCAGCATCAGCATCAGCATCATCATCATCATCATCATCATCATCATCATCATCAGCAGCAGCAGCAGCAGCAGCAGCAGCAGTATCCTCCTCCTCCTCCTCTTCCTCCTCCTTCTCAATACTCATGATTGCGCTGGTCCCTCGTTGTCCTTGCATGGCATGTGCTCCCCCCTAAGTGGTTCGGAGGGTGGTCGTGTCGTCGCGGTCAGTGAGGCTGGTCGTGTCGTCGTTCCTTTCCCCCCCCTGCTTGGGAGGGCCCCCCTCGCCCCCAGAGGAGGCCAGGGGGCCTCTCCCGGCGCCTCGGCTCGGCGAGGGATCTCCTCGCCGCTCGCTCGCACCTCCTCCTCCTCCTCCTTCTCCTCCTCCTTCTCCTCCTCCTCCTCCTCATCCTCCTCCTCCTTCTCCTCCTCCTCCTCTGCCGTCGCTGGTTTGGCTCGAGCCGCTATGGCTCGAGGTGCTACCGGATGGGCTCTTCCCGCGAGGCGGCCATCAAGAAGTGCGGAAAAGCAGCGCAATGGAGCGCAGCATTGGATTTGTTCTCGAAAGCCACTCGGCTGATACTCGCGGAAGTCTACCCAGGCACAGGCAAGTTCGTCGTAAAGCGAAAAGAACTCAGCCCAGGCTATTACATTGCGACTGTCGGCGCATGCGGGAAAGGCAGCCAGTGGCAGCGGGCTTTGGCGCTTCTCGGCGAGATGTTGGAAGCGAAGCTGGAGCCAGACGTCGTGTCTCTTACAATAAGAAAGTCCAGGGTTCGCTAGGGATTGGTTTCCTTCCAAAACAGCCGAAGTCCCCCCGAAACCCTCCGAAAACCCTCTGGGCCAGGTTCCGGGAGGCTTTTCGGAGGGCTTCGAGAGGGTTTGGGAAAGGTTTTCGTCGCTTGAGGGAAACCAGTCCCCAGCGAACCCTGGGGCTTCTAATGTTACATTGCGTGTAGGAACCCGCGCGTGCGAGAGGGGCTCGGGGCTCGCTGGGGTCCGCTTGGCGCCCCCCTGGACTTCCAAAACGGCCGCAGAGGGCCCTTCTGAGGGCCTCGAGACAGGCCGTCAGAGGCCTCAAAGACGGCCCGGGACAGCTCCAAGACGCCGAAGATGGTTTCCAGACGGCCCACGAGTGCCCGAACATGCCCCCAGTCGCCTGCACAAGAGCTCCAGAGAGGACCTCCAGCAGCAAAAATTGTTGATCTTCGCTTGAGTGTTGAATGCTTTTCGCACGCTCGCTCCCGGGACGCCCAGGACGGCCCAAGAGGCCCCCGAGGTCGACCCAAGACGGCCCAAGAGGGCCCAAGACGCCCCAAGTGGCCCTCCAGACGGGCGAAAGTGGCTCCCAAGACTGTCCGCGAGGCAGCCAAGATGGCCCCAAGACGAGCCTTAGGCGGCCCAGGAACGCCCCGAGATGGCCCTAAGGCCTCCCCCCCAGACGTCCCCAGACCCCCCCCAAAGCCATGCCCAGAGGCGCCAAGGACCGCCCAGACAACGGAGATGAAAAGCCTGCCAGGAGACAGAAGGGCGGCGGCGACGAAAATCAACATCACCGCGCCCTCCAGGCACGCTTCGACCACCCGTGGGCCCGAGCTGCCAGAGGGAGGGGGAGGAGGAGGAGGAGGAGGAGGAGGAGGAGGAGGAGGAGGAGGAGGAGGAGGAGGACGAGGACGAGGACGAGGACGAGGACGAGGACGAGGACGAGAATGAGAATGAGGACGAGGATGAGGAGGAGGAGGAGGACCAGTGCAGACCCACGTCTCATCAACAATGTTACGATAAACCCTTCAAACAAGATAGGCTCCCGTTGGAAGACAACCGTTCGAAAATATTCAACCGTGCCAGGGCACCTGCCCTGGGACTTCAACGCCGCGAATAAACGTGATTGTTGCGGCTTGACGGTCCTAAATCGTGCCAGAACACCAGCTCTGGGACGTCACTACCGCGAATCAACGTGACTGTTGCGACCTGGCAACCCTAAATCGTAAACATCAGTTCTGGGATATCAGCAAGAAGAATTTCGGAAGTGCTGTATTTTGTTACGACCGATGTGCGCGGCGCTAAGGCGAGAACCACGTGTTGAAAAAGATCCGCCTCCATCCGCGAAATTCTTTCAACTCTCGGAGCGACTGCGCGCCGCGCCGAGGCGAGAGCCACAGGTTGAAGACCGCGAGCCCCTGATAACCTTGCAGGCGACCGAGCGCGGCGCTGAGGCCAAGAGACACACTCCGAGAGCCGCCCGCCCTCCATGCTGCGTGGAGCCTTTTCACAAACGCTTGCGACGTTTGTGCGCGGCGCGAAGGCGAGAGCCAGATGCTGAAGCCGGCCCGCCCTCCCTCCGGAACAATTGCTGCACAGCTCAGGCTTCAGGGCCATGAAAAGGTGAGGAAGAAGTCTCAGGCGAAACGCCCGGGCCCGCCCTAAAGGCCCGTCTCGTGGCGCGATGGGGAGGAGTGATTCTCATGAGGAAGAGGGAAGAAGGATGGAGACGGAGGAGGAAGAGGAGGAGGAAGAGGAAGAGGAGGATAGGAGGAGGAGGAGGAGGAGGAGGAGGAGGAGGAGGAGGAGGAGGAGGAGGAGGAGGAGGGAGGAGGAGGAGGAGGAAGGAAGGAGGAGGAGGAGGAGGAGGAGGAGGAGGAAGAGGAGGATAAGGAGGAGGAGGAGGAGGAGGAGGAGGAGGAGGAGGAGGGGAGGAGGAGGAGGAGGAGGGGTGGGGGGGGCCAGGGGGAGGGGAAGGAGGAGAAGGAGGAGAAGGAGGAGGCGGAGGAGGAGGAGGAGAAGTGGGAGGGGGAGCGCATGCCCCCTGCCCCCGGTACGCCTGGGAGGGGCCCGTGCGAGCCCAAGACGCCCCAAGAAAGCGCCTCTTCCTCGGCGATCCCTCAATCAGTCCTCGCTCCTCTCTCCTTGGTCGTCGCTCCTCGCGGATCGCGCCTCGCTCTTCACCGATCGCTCCTCGCTTCTCTCCCCCCTCCCTCCTCGATCTCCTGGCGCCTCGCTCCTCGATCCCCTCCTGGCAGCAGGCTGCGTCAGCCAGCGGGGAGCAGCACCATTCAGCATCGAGCAGCAGCATCGGCAGCGAAGGCCAGCAGCACGAAGCAGGCAGCTGCAGCGGCAGCACACAGCAACAGCAAGCAGCAAGCAGCCGCAGAAGGCGGGCAACAGGACGCACCAAGCAGAACTGGCCATCAGCAGCACCCTGCAGCAACAAGCATCAACAGCACGCTGCAACGGCAAGCATCCCCAACAGCACGTAGCGCAGCGGCAGCAAGCAGCAACACGCAGCAGCATGCGCAGCATGCGAGGGCCGAGCCCCACGCTATCATGTCGGCCTTCAGGCAGCATACCCACAACCACATGCTAGACCGTGCAGATCCCGTGGACATAAGTATTCCGGATTTTACAATACAAGGGGGGTGGTTTGATTTCGGGGGGGGTCCGATGTGAATTGCCTTGGAGGGTGCCAGTGGGGTCTTGGCAAAAGGCACCCCTTTCATGGCTGGTCTGGGGGGGAGTCTCAAACTGCTCATCTGGGAGGGTTGTGCCCCCCTCCCTTTTATTTCAAAATTCCACATCGTTCACGGGTCAATTCTAGTCCATACAGTCAGCCATCATCGCATGGATGAGCAATTTTCCGAGATTACCTTGCATCCTTCCCTTTCGGCCCATCCTTGGTCGCTTTCGCTGGCCGCGCCCCGCTCACAAAGCGTCCGCATGGCCTTCCAAGGCCCTTGCACCCTTATCGCGCGTCCTTATCATTCGAAGAAAAAACACGATAATCATAAACTGTTGGCGCTCTGCGCGGATTTCTTGGATCTGCGCTGGACCCCCCTCCCTGGCGCGCGGCGCCGCTGGGGGGGCCCAGCGCAGATCCAAGAAATCCGCACGGAGCGCCAAAAGTTTATGTTCGTGGCGTTTTTTCTTCTTCTAACCATACGGGTTGACTGTACCACAGTGACGGGGGGCAGCGCGTGCGCAAGTGGCCAGGAGTGGCAGCCCTAGGGGCGGGGGCCGGGGTCGACTACACGTAAGAGTGACCCTTCGCCGGAGTGACCCTTGGTGCGGCCCACCGGGGTCCCAGATCGCCGAACGCGACGCGACAGGAGCGTCCTGCGCGCTTCTGTTTGGTCCCCCCGCGGCCCCCGAGAAGCCGCGCACCAAAGGTACCCAGGGTCGTTCCTGCGCGTAGCCGATGTGGGGGGGGCGCCCAGCGACCTGCCAAAAGGGGCGCGCCGCGCCGCGCGGGGCCTCACAGGACGGCGCCATAAGGAAGGCCCGAGGGGAGGCTCCACGACGGCGCCGAGGCCCAACAGAGCCCCGAGGAGGGGGAGGAGGAGGAGAAGGAGGAGGAGGAGGAGGAGGAGGAGGAGGAGGAGGAGGAGGAGGAGAAGGAGGAGCAGGAGGCGGGGGAGGGGGGGAGGGGAGGGGGAGGAGGGGAGGAGGAGGAGGAGGAGGAGGAGGAGGAGGAGGAGGAGGAGGAGGGAGGAGGAGGAGAAGGAGAGGAGGAGAGGAGGAGGAGGAGGAGGAGGAGGAGGAGGAGGAGGAGGAGGAGGAGGAGGAGGAGGAGGAGGAGGAGAAGGGGGAGGAGAAGGAGGAGGAGGAGGAGGAGGAGGAGGACAGTGGGTCCCAGGGAGGGCCCGAGGAGGCCAAAGTCATTGAGTCTCCTTTGGTTTCTAAAGGAGTTCAGCTGTCGCGCCTTGTCGTGCCTCCGACGCCCGAGACCGCCCCCGAGGCCTCCAAGATGGCCCAAGGAAACCCCAAGTGGTCCTCAACAGAGCCCCAAGACGGCCCCCGAGAGGCCCCCATCAGGGCCCAAGAGGCCCCCGTGACGTCTCCAAGACGTGGCTTGCCGCACCGCGGACAGCCTTTGAGGCGGCACAAGACCCCGAGGTTCCGAGAGACCCAAAGTTCGCCCCCCACGCCTCCAACACGGGCCAAGAAGGCTCCGAGACGGTTTGAGATGATCCGAAAGCGGCCCCGGAGGCCCCTGAGCCTGCCCAACGGGGCTCCAAGAGCCTCTCCAGGAGGAGCCGAGGTGGCCAAATCTCTGATCTTCTCTTTGGGTTTTCCAGAGACGTCAGCCTTCTCGCCTGTCCGCAACTCCGACGCCCAAGACGGCCCTGGAGCCTCGAGACCCCCCGGGAGAGCAAAGGACAGCCCAAGAGAGCCTCCAGGACCGCCCCGATGGGCCCGAGAGGCCCCCAGGCTCGCCCCAGACGCCTCCCACAGGGGCCAAAGACGGCCCCGAGACGGCCCACGACTGCCCCAAGACAGCCCCAGAGGCATCCGCAGAGGCCTCCGCGAGGCAGACGAAAAACGCCCCACCTTCGATGAGCAGAGTCTGAGGTGACGGATCGGACGTCTGACAGCTGCACTTTTCTTCGGCAAGTCTCTTACACAACCCGGTCAGCAGGGCTCGA